ACTCTCATTAATAACATTGACATGAAATTTTTTTATAATGCTAAGAATTCTAATTCCAAATTGTTTATTATCTGTCAAAGAATTGAGGTATTGAAGAAACTTCCGTAATATTAATGTTGCAAAACTAAATGCAATAACGTAGAAGAAAGATATTTGAAATGTAAAAATTCTTGAAAATATTTTATTATTTGATTGATATTTGAAATGTAAAAATTCTTGAAAATATTTTATTATTTGAAAGTCTTTAAATTTATCGGAATAAACGATTAGAATAAAATTTTTTTCAAAAATAATACATGTTTTATTTGAAATTAGACGATATGCTTTAAAAAGAATGAATTTACATATAATTCGAAATATATATACATATATATTGATAATATTCGATATCTTAAGTGTATTGTGAATATTTTTCCTTATTTTTGAAAAATATTTGAGATTACTGATTGTTTATTGTCATTATGACCACTAAGTAATTTATAATAATTATGATAATAATTTAATGAAAATTTTGAATTTATTTTACTCCTAATATAATAAATATCACATGCACTTCTAGATTATTGCTATAAAATAGAGTTTTTCTTACGTGGACTTAAATCAACCGATCACCTATGGTGTAAAGCATCCAGATTTATAGTCTTAGGACTAAATATTAACTAAAATTAATACCCTACAAGCTCATTAAGACTTCAAAATTTGAAATGTTATTTATTCGTTAATTTTTTCGTTTAAAAATTTACTTAATTAATTCGTTCAACTAAATCTCCAAGAAATTAGTAATTAAAATTAATTCTAACGTATATATATATATATATATATATATATATATACACAGATACAATATATATCATATATGCATAAGAAATATTTATTCTCATAAGAAGATTCTAAAATATCTAAGAGTACTTTTGTATTTAACATTGTCACTTATAACCCATTTTCCTGTAAGAGTCATTTTATTTAAGGCTCTTTATAGTGTTGTATAATAAAATTATAACAATACACATATAGATAATAGTTTATTTTCTGCTAATGTGATGAATAAGATGTGCAGGAAAAATGAAGCACCACGTACAAAAAAAAAAAAAAAAAAAAAAACAAAAACAAAAAGAAAACAACAAATAAAGAAATGAAAAGAAAGTAATTTATATTTTTATGTATTTTGAAAGGGTGAAAGACATTAAAGAGTGAAAATTTTTTTCAGAAAAAATATCAAAATAGTTTTAAAGAAGCCTATCTCAAATAGTGGTGATAGTAAGCAAAATGAGTTGCAGTGTCAAATAAAAATTAAAATGATATTTAGAAAAGATGAAAGTTATAAATGACAAAGTGAAAAAGTCAGTAATGGAAGTGAAGATGGAAAAAAACAGATCGGGTGGATTTAGATAGAAGTGTGCGAATGAAATTAACGAATATAAAGAAGGAGACAGTGCCGTTGTTTTCTCGTTTTTTTATTTATTTTTTTTTTTTTTTTTGCAATTTCTGTTTGTTATCTAACACGTTATTATTTTATTGTAATTTTTTTTATCATTATTATTCTTCTTACATCATGTAATTTCTTATCCGATTCATGAGAACAAAAAAAAAAAATTCCAACACCGAAGAGAATAGATAAATAAAAGTTACCTCCGCGATAAATTTATAAAGCAGACGTTCGATATTTGAAAATCGTTTTGATTTACAACAAATAAAAAAAAAAAAAAAAAAAAAAAAAACCAACAAAAAAAATTGCAACTATAAATAACATAAAATAAGTCAAGCAGGCAATAGGTAATTTTATTTGAAGTACACAATATGACATTGGACTAATGGTAGCTGCAAGGGATCCCATAAGTGTAAAGACACGTTTTTCCACTAGAACAATGCACTATTCGTTGTACAATCAATCATTAATTCTATACAATTGCTGTATAAATTACTAGACAACCATAAGTACTTACTATCACTTTTTTTCTACAATTTACTTCGTATTATACCTGGGAATAGTAACACACGTGGAAACAAAATACGAAGGGACATTGGGGAATGAAGAAAGAGGATCGTTAAAAGGGACAACTCGTTAACAATGAAGAGATATAACAAAATATAGATTCATAAACACAGGTACATAATGTAATTAAGAAATGAACAGTAACTTAAAAAAAAAAAAAAAAAAAAAAAAAAAAAAAACCCAATATGAAAAATACGGGCAAAATTCGGGCGGTTATATACCTAACACTCACAGGCAGACCTACGGTTAGTAATAATCACAGATCAACCAATTTATCGCTAATAAAAATAATATTTCTTCACGTTCCACGTTAAATATCAATAGATTAAAGGCGATTATTATGGTCGCTATTAATTACGTTTATTTCGGATTAATTAAAGTACCGAATGTCGACAATGATCACAATAACTGGTGTGCTTAATCTTTTATTTTTTAACCAATCACGGGAAAACATAGTAGGTGATTGATAGGCAGTCAGCTGTCAATGGTTAATTGACAGCTGATCGAGCAACTGCAATATTTCGTTACTATTGTGATATTTCACGTGAAACGGGATCACATCATATCATTACACGAGATCTAATATATAATACGATGGAACACACTCGCCTAAGAACCTAAAGTCGAACGAATCATTTAGTATATGACTTTTAAAACACGTGGCATACGCATGCACACACATACACACACGCACACGCACGCACACGCACGCGCGCACACACACAAACACACAAACACACAAACACACACACACACACACACACATATACGCGCGCACACACATATATGTGTTTGCTATGATGGCTATGATATTGCTAATTAGCAAATATATAAGTAAATAGTCATAAAAATCATATACTCTAATGTAATGGTAGTCCGGCGAACATGTCAAGGCACGGAAACATAACAGAAATCGTTCCCAAGAATACAATGACAATCAGGATTATAGCTACCGCATGGAACATGGATCTTTTCATCTTATTCACATTGTATTTAATTTGAATTTAATTAAGCAACTAAAAATTAAGGAATAAAATTTTTAAAAGGAATATGTCTGAAATCAATGAGGTCGATTCAACATAATAGATAATAAATGCTCTCTAAACACGTATTATAATAGCAAACTAAACTGTAATTTCATCTATTCGTCACATTGTTTCGTTCTCATTAATGTAAAAGTAAAGTTCGTAATTCACATTACATTACATTTATGTAAATTGACAATAAATTTAATTGGATTAATTTACCATGGCTCATTCTAATATGCAGTTTAATTCCTCTATCAATATCATGTTTTTATCACAAAATGTCGAGTAGTCTCTAATCAATAGGGATGATGCTCAAGATAAATTTCGCAATTTACATTTACAACATTGTATGTATTGCCTCATCTACAATTTGCTGGCCTTTTGTTTTGATATAGTCTAGTTGTTACAGCCAATTATCTTGCACATTTCGATAATACAACAATAAGACGAACGATGTTTTACCTTCGATTAATTTCCTTTCTCTAATGAAGCCAAGAATAACGGTGAAGATGATTCTTGTAACACAAATGATAAAAAAAGAAGCAAAATTATTAATCTTTATTCGACAGCTCCATGTTACATGACGGGGATGTTTATTTGGTTGCATTTGCTTGGCAGCAGATCTGATCAAAGCACATATGGTTATTACGACTTTTTCTTTTGTTTTACCGATGATTTACGTATAACTTACGGTGTGCGTGTGAACGCCTGTTTACACGCGCACGCGTGTATGTAGGAAGCCGTCGTTCGCTAGGATGCATTTGGCAGATGCATTCGACGAGAGATGCAGGATTGCGGGACATACTAATAGCGAGACAAATGTCATTTAATAGTATAAGTCGATGAGAAACACGAACGCGTTATAGACGTCTGCGTGTTGTATGTCGGTGTTGTTGTCTGCGTGCGTATGCGTGCGTGCGTACTTACGTTTGCGTGGGCGTCTCCTCCCCCTTTCCCCTTTCTCTCTCTCTCTCTCTCTCTCTCTCTCTCTCTCTATGTGCGTGCGTGCGTGTTTGTGTTTGTGTTTGTGTTTGTGTGTGTGTGCGTGCGCGCGCGCGAGTATATGTATTCAGCGTATAATACCGAGTAATAAAGCGTTGTAATTTTAACTGAAATCGTAATTTTTAAATTGGAACTTAAACACTTAATTAAATTGCATCGATTCGAGTGTTGTAATTTTTCATTACATTGTTTCGTTTGCAATCATTGAGTCAATAAAGCTTGCTAACAAAAATCTACGATTTGTAATACTTTGTACTATTTGCGACACAATAACGAACAAATATTTAAATATATTTAAATAGCAATGTAGTTGAAAAAGTCCAAACTTTTGACATTATTCGATCACATTATCCCTGATCGTTGGTCATTGTAGCCACCTATAATAAGTGTATGGCTTTTCTCAGCGACGACTTGTCTGACTTTAAGTTCAATCCAAACTACTATACAATAACAATACATACGAGTCAATATAAGGCAATCGATGTAAGGAAATGTGGCCAGTTCGCGTCAGGTCGATCAGATGCCGAACATATCATAATAAACAGTACAATAAGATAAAAGTGAAATTGTCAGCTTGTGATCAGTTCTGCTCTCCAGGAAGGACTAAGATATTTAGTAAGGTTATGAGAAACTTGTTACTTGAGACTGAAACGACAAACTATATGCAACTCTGTCTAGTGTGTCAAAAAACCACAATTATTAATAATTAATAATTAATAATTAATTAAAGAAAAAGTCAAAAATAAAGATTAAAAAAAATAAGAAAGAAAAAAAAAAAAAAAAAAAAAAAAAAAAAAAAAAAAAAAAAATGAAATATTGGCTTGGGAAAAAGAAGAAGAAAAAAAAAGATCTAGCGTATATACGTAGAAACATTAAGTTTGAGTTAACGAACGCTTTCATATTCAAGAGAACAAAAGTGCGGGCCTTTTTTAGCGGGCCTCTGGCTATTGCGTGGGTATATCATATGGCAGGCACACCTTGCTGGTTCGGTCTGGTTGGGGCGGTGTAGCCCGACGCTCGTAGTGCCTCTCCGGCTGTTGGTAAAGGGGGATCTGCAAACCCATTTGGAATACGTGTTCGCAAAGACCCAGTACATATCTCATCCTTTATGTTAATTGTGTTGGTTTTAGATATTGGTTTTGGTATTGGTTTTGGTATTGGTATTGGTTGTGGTTTTGGTTGTGGTTTTGGTTGTGATTTTGATTTTAAATTAATGTGGGATGGGTTGTTGTGGGTCTGTTTGGGGCCGGGGGAAGGAGGACACGGGATCGGATCAATGAGAGGCTTTCTTTTTATCTTGGCTATCACACATCTATTATCTGCTCCTCTTAATTTGTCAATTTTGCTTGCTGGCTTATGCGTTGAATTCTAACTAGCACGTTTCGTTAATATGGATGTCGCGCGGCCATTGACAAGGTTCATTGAATTCGCTCGTTGGTGTAATGTAAATTCAAGACACGTTTTGCAATTATTAGAGCTTTTTAAGCACGATGTAAGAATATTCTACGATACCGACAAACGTATCATCCACTCGTTCGCATTAGAGCCGTTTGTTTAGCCAAAATCAAAATTTTCTACTGCGCGCGTTATTTTTATCTCGCGGTATTTTCTTTACACAGGCGTTCGCTTTTTTTTTTTTTTTTTTTTTTTTTTTTTTTTCATCCAAGTCTTTCAACAATAAGATATTATCGTCTTTAAAAGTCAATAAGTCTTTTTTTTTTTAACGTTGTTTTTTTGAATTATTAATCGACGTGCTTGTTAATATCCTTTAAGCTTGCCTTTTTACTTTTTCATTTTTTATTTCATTTTAATGGAATATATGTAGAAACTTCTCGATAGTTGCATTCAAAATATGAAAAATTTTAATCTGTCAATTTATTATTATTCTGAATAAATTCTTCGGATGTTCCGAATATTTCGAACTTTTCGGTAGAATGACCAGTTATACCGATCTTCAATATATATTCTAACAAATTCAATTTTTTTCTATTTTTATTCTTCGAAATCTCTCATTTTAGGAAGGAATCTTTAAATATTTCAATAGTTAATCAAATTAACCTTAAAAAAAAAAAAAAAAAAAAAAAAAAACTAAATAAATAAAATCATAGACAAAAGAAATTATCTTTAAAGCTTTATATAGGTGGTATATTTAAATAACAATATCAATATTTATTCCATCCGTATGGCATTATACTCCAATTATATTTAATACTTTCATACTTTACAGGTAAAGCAAAAAAAAAAAAAAAAAATTTATATATATTCTTGTGCTATATGCCTACTTAAAGATAAATCGAGTCTCTTCCTAAAGCACTAATTATCATGTATATATGAGACATAATAGTTTAGAGAAATTAGAGAAATGGAAGAAAAAAGATGAAAATATCAGAGTGAGACGAAATACAAATAGGTACAATCTTACAATAAAACATGACATGACTTTGGCTTTTCTATTTCTAATGCTTTCAAGAAGTATATGAATTACGTTTATTATCTTTTATCGTTGTTATCTTATTTTTATGGGTATATTGAAAATTTTGGATTATGCATTGATGATATTTTAATCGAATAATTGATTTCTACAAAGTTTTAAGATTATAAGTGAATGAATGGCTTGCACGGATGAATACATTAATTTCAATTCAAATACGTATTATAAGTTTCGAATGATATGCGTAACTGCAATTTTAAAAAATCAAACAATCAATAAGCACTGTAATTTTATAAAGATACGAATGAAAAAAAGAAAAGAAAAAAATTTCAATCATGCGTTAACATAAATAGTCTATCAATTTATTTGCCATTTATACTAATAATAATATTGTATTTTACGTATGAAATTCAATTTTCAACCTCATAGTCTCAAAATCGAACTAAATTTGTTAATTAGTAGCGAGGATGCGGACGTGTAATAAATATCATACACATGGAAATGTTTGAAGATTCGAGAAAATTGACAGTGTCTGCAATTGCCTAAATTGGCACAGCGATGACCAAGATGAGGCAACATTTTATTGCATTTGGTTGCGTCGCGCGCAGTTGAATGGAAAAATTGAATCGAGCGGCGATCGTTGTCGTATAATAGAATATGACAAAAAGGAAAATACATAGAATTAATTCTATTCGAACAATACATTTGCATGCAATGAATATATATTTTTTTTTTTTTTTTTTCCCTAATTATGCTTGTTTCCACTGATTACGCGCTCACATGTAATAATAGCATTTCTGTTTATAAGTGTAAACAAAATGCTGAATGACTCGCATTTTTACGTTTATATTCTATCACGTTTGATTGAAAGAAGTAGAGGTGATCATCTTATTCTCTTTTATACCGAGCCATATTTTATGCCACATAAGGATGCAATTAGTTTACACATTTATTCTGGTGAGATTATAAATAAACAGATCACATAGTAGAAACAATGTAACGAACGCTATTGTAATTTGAATAACAAAATTCATTTGTCTTTTAAATATTCTGCGCTCTTTATGTCACAAACAACGAAAATAACTAGAATTTTTTTTTTTTTTTTTTTTTTTTTTTTTTTTTTTTTAAGGTTAATTTGATTAACTATTGAACTAACATTCTTTAATAGCCTTAAATAAATTTGATTTAATATGAAACTTTATACGTGATAATAAAAAAACACTATTTTAAATAAAATCGCATAAATTTTATAACATTATAAAGACTTTTTTTTCATTTTACTTGCTGTAACAAGTAAATGATACAAATTTATATGGCTCGTTCATACGAATGAACATCAGTATTGTGCAGTATAATTTTTCTTTCTTTTTTTTTTTTAATATTAAATTTGGATATTAATTATACTTTTAAATATTTATATGTTATAAACATTTTCAATTTACTTTACTTGATTATATGACAGAAATTTCATAAATATATTACATCTTAAAGATTTCCTGAATATTAAAATTTGCTTTTATATTTTTATGTTATTGTAATTTTTACCGACTTTCTTTTTATTAGAGAATAATTATCGATAGACTAGTGGTACATTGATTAACTAGAGAATAGAGGTGAAAATCGAACAATATTCTTCGAAAAAATTTTAAAAACTATATTTATATGACTTTCAATGTAATCAATTTATCGGGACAAAATATTGATATTAAATTTAAAATAGAAAATGTTTAATATAACCTATTCACATAATTTTTCTTTAAATAGCATTATAAACAGCAATTCGTTGTGTAATAAATGATGTAAGCAAAAGCCAAAATAAAAAAAAATTTTTTAAATTCGCGCGTAAATTCTGTATTCGTGATTCATGGAACATCATTCATTATTAATAATATTATAATTATTGAAAGTTGTTTTATTTAACTATCGTAAATTTAACGATTCGACGTATTTAATTAATTTGAACTTTTATGTGGCTTTAGCTGATTTATAAAACTAAATTGATAGTGCACTTGTCATTTAAAGCCCACTTTTCTCTATGAAGACGTGCCTCATCCGATCCCGACTTATGTTTCTTAACATCAGCTCTTCGCAACACAAGTAGTGTTAAATTAGGCGAAATTAAGGCGACACCGCGCCGAAAGCCTAAAGTATTTATGATTAGCGTGCGACTTTCGCGGAGTAATGCCTACGGCGTTGGGAGGAAGGTTTCCTAGGTGTTTATTCACATTGTTTAAGCATTTAATGTCGATGTTATTTCGTTCAATACTTCTTGAAATATTAGATAGAATACCTTTTTTCTTTTATTTTCGCGCTATATTTTAATAATTTTCGTCCAATTTTTTATTCATCACTCTCTTGATATTTTTGTACTTTTTATTTATTCATTATTCATAGCACTTTTTATCTAACTTTATTTTATGTAAGTTTTAACTATATGATATGTCAAATTTTTATAATAGATAACAGTCATTTATTATTCGGTGAAATTATTTTAATTTATGCCTAATATAATGCATTTCAATCACGTTAAAAGTATATAAATTGTGATTATTTGATACTTAAAAAAAAAATGTAATTTACTAGTTTATTGACTAGATATTGGCACATAAAATTATTAAATAATTTTTTAAATATCTGAGATTAAATTATAAACTAATGTATTACTTACATTGTGTGAATTAATGAAAATAAGAAATAACCATATTTTTTTTATACGTATTTAAATACTATTTTTATAAAATAAGACTTTAGAATATTATCTTAAAATATGACAAACATCCGTCTAGTTAGCACATTGTTATATAAATATTGTAATTATATTATTAATTGTATTTTAAATACTTTTCGTGCTCATGTAGTTACATTAACAATTGACTTCTTTTTAAATTTATTCCAAATCACATCTACATCGATTATTTTAATCTATACATAGATGTATTATCACAGATAAACTAATAAAAAAAACTAATTAAATTGAATACTTTTTATACTCCAATAAAGAAAATTTCAATGTACGGCATTTAACATTTTAATTAGAATTTAGTTTTTTTCTACATAATAAATACGGAATATTTTCTATACTTTTTGTGTACCATAACCATTATCATTATAAATGTCGCGAGTTTTCATGACGAACGTGATACTATAAAATCTTGTTGTTTATATAAAATAATAGTGAATATTATTCATTATTCTGTTGAAAAAGATAAAAGAAGAAGTAAAAATTATTTTAAACATTCACTCTTATAAAAAGAGGATCTAGAAATTTATTAGAAAAAAAAAAAAAAAAAAAAAAGGTTATTTCATATGTACTGATTTTTAAATGTGTAATTAGCGAGCATTTTAATAAATCATTCAGATGATAATATAAATTAAAACAATTTATATTTCCTACATAGTTTCATGACTAATTCAAACGCCTTAATTTAATGTATTTATTAAACGTTTAATGTAAAAGAACAATATAGTTAAATTTTCGAAGCTGCTCCAAATAATTTTAATTGACTCTAAAATATTATCATTCAAGTAAATTAACAAGGTCATTTTACATATGCGTATATAATAAAATGAATTGATTGTTAATAAAATATACAATATTATAGGTATATATCGAGTGCTTATTCAATGGTTAAAGATTTCGTATTGTTTTATCCACTGAATTTACAAAAGATATGATTAATTATTTTTTTTTAAATATTTCCGTATAAAAATTTCGATTGTACTGATAATATATATATATATATTGAATAATAATTTCTAATTTTTCAATAAAAATTAATATTTTTTATAGATGTATATTTAGCGCGTGAAAAAAATTTTTCAGTGCGATCTATTTACTAGTTTAAAACATTATTATTATTTGTATACTCGCAGACTTAATTTATTTAACTTTTTCATAATCTAATTAATCAATTCAAAACAAATAATATTAATAATATTTATCTTAATCGTACATTTCATACATTGTTTCACTTTTGAAATATGCAACAGCTTTTAATAGTAATTTTCTTCTATTATCTTCTTTTTCAAGTGGCACTACTTATTAACGTAGCAATAATAACGTATAAACTTATTAAATTATTACAATATATAAATTGTACATGAATGTAATATTTATAAATACATGTACCTATATGCATGTGTGTATATATATAATATATATATATATATATATATATACACATGCATATAAGTACATACATATAGGTACGCGAGCGCGCTCGCGTTTCTGTTCGTATGCATACATATGTGCTTACGTAATAAATATAAAGACTCGGACTGTGTTGTTGTCAATGTATGGTAAATATATGTGGATACTTACATAGACCTCTTCCCATTGTGACACGTATCGCACCAGTCTCGACAATCGGAGTAACCTAACGAGTGATAGGAGTTTCGCTAGCCTAAGAATCCTGAGGGCACGACCAGCATGCAGAATCTGGAAAGACTCGCTGAAATCCTGAAACTAATGCCAAATGCCACGTTCATTTATCCATTCTTCTGAATTATTTATCTGTTTTTCATGATTGGCTACTCTTAACTTTGTGCAGTGTTAGTCGATGAGAAGCGTGCGTTTCTTAATAGGCATTCTTGAAATAATAACGCGTACTCTGTCGGATAAATCGTCAATGGAATATTAGTCCAGCAAACGTCACAATTTAATGAAATTTTAGAAAATAATGAAAATAGTTGAAAAAAAAAGTGTTGTCATTAAGTATATTTTCAATAAATCATATTTAACTGATTGTTTCAATATTCAAACATAATATGAAATTCACGGCGTTTAGCATATGAATGTTTTGTTGAATTGTTAAATCAATTTATGTTTTTTATTAGTTACTTTGCGTATGCGCGCTGCCTCTTTAAAGCTTAAAATAACTCTTACGCACTAATAAAATATTAGATGACCCGTAAGCAATAAGAAAAATCATAAACCCGTCAAGCAAGAAATGGGGCTATTAAATTCACAATAACCCGTAGAAGCAAAATCCCAAAATTAACTTCTAAGGTTATTTTAGCTTTTCGGCTTATGCCTCCTTCCAGTTTTATTCACGTATAAAAAATAAGCTCAAGGAGAGGAGAGGCAAATCCGGTCGGTCTCTTAACTATACTTGCCACTACGAGATACCGTAATGTAGTCCAAAATGAGAGAGAGAGAGAGAGAGAGAGAGAGAGAGATAGAGAGAGAGAATGAATAAAAGAAAAAAGAAAAAACGTGTGCCAATGCTGGTCCGTCATTTCGCTGCTGATTCTTTCTTTAGACACGTGGGAATCCGCAAAGAGGCAATACACGAATCACGGTCTTGGGAAGATATAACCGATGGCGAAAGTAATTTTGTTCCTGTCAAGGTCTCTACGAATCTCATCGTTTGAGATCTTAAGAATTTCCTCAAGGGAGGTGAGAGCCTGTATGTGTGTGTGTGTGTGTGTGTGTGTGATTTTTTTTTTTTTTTTTTTTTTTTTTTTTTTGTTGGACTTTTTCATGCATTGATTTTTCAAAGTTGCTAGTTATTTAGAGGGCTTATTAATTTAAGCTCTACTGACAAAAAATTGTACGAGTGAAGAAGTTTATAACTGGAATGAATGTAAATTTTTCTCTTTTAACGATCCCTTTGGATGAAAATATATTATTTTTATGGAATATATTTGTAATAATTCATTATAATTCATTCATCGATATTATTTCAAATTCATAAAAAGGTATTTCACACAAAAGATATTCATTTTTTTTATATAAGAATATAAATTTAATGATTTTATTATTTGACTAATAATATATTTAAGAGAAAAAACTCGTTATCGTCTTTTTTGAGCACTGAAGTGTGAATAAAAGGACTTTCATATGTGCGGATAAATCTTCTCAAGATATACAATTACAGCAATTATATACAATCTAAAGACATTTCAATAAAACATTTACCTTCAATCGAACAATAAAATTTTAATTTATTTATATGATTAATGAGGGCAATGATGTTACTAATAATATTCTTAATATTCTAAGTTCATAATGGTTAAGCCAAGACAAATATGTATATTTGCATATGTATATCGAAATTCAGATGAATTATCAATATACATTGATTATAGAAATGATATTAAATTAAATTAAATAATAATAGAATGAATTGTAGCTGATGCAATAGGCAGAGTAAAAATACAATAATAATAAAAAAAAAAAAAAAAAAAAAAAGGAAAAATGGAAGCTGATGTACTTACTTGATTAAATATGAGGAAAATATAGTCTAGCGGTATGGAGGAGATGAGGTCAAGAAAGAACCATGTCCTGAGGTAGTGTTTGGCGATTAATTTCGGATCCAGTATTACTTGCTCGGCGTTGTCCTGTTGCATTATGCCTAAAGTTATGAAAGAACATGATTAACCAGGCTCCCTTCTTTAGATATTTAATTTTTTCTATTATTGTAAATAACGCACTTAAAGCAGTAATATTCCTATAGTCTAATTATTAATTTTTCTATAAATTTTTTTTATTATTTTTTATTATTTTTAATTTATTCCTTGGTAATATATTGAGATATCTAGGTCTTCATAGTTTCTATTCAATTACTAAAATTAATAATTTGTCTGTATTAGATACCGAGTTATATAGATAAGTAACAGAATGTAATAGCGATATTTTAGTCTTTAATGCTTCGATCCACTGAATTCGAACCCCAAATGCTCATTAACGTGACCTCCTTACTTTTAACCAATATCGACTTCGGTTACACATTGGGTTTTGATTTTACGCAGATACTCGTAAATATAATTTCTTTACCTTTTTTTAAAGGGAAATCTTATGTCTACTTTAAGAAATAATGTTACTCTAACGATGGCATTTACATATCACAATGACAACATTAATAATAAATTAACACATATAGTTTATTCATTTATATTTTCAATTTTGTATTTCACTTTATTTCCTTATTTTCATACATTTTCAAATATATTTTTTGTCAGATTTTTAGTTTATATTTTGATTAAGATTGTCTTAACTCTTTATAAATATTCTCTTAAATTATTCTCTAAATACTAAATACACTAAATACTTCTCTATAAATACTTTACATGCAAAATGATACTTGAGAAAAGAAACAGCAATAAAAACTTATTTAATTCCCATTTATTAATGAATTTGTTAATTGATAATAAATATAATTATTTGGTGGAATACGTTGTCAAATATTAAATAGAATATATAGAGTGTATATTTATAGAATAATTGAGCAATAGTCACTACAAGTATATATATATATATATATATATATATATACATTACGTTATTTCAATAATTAATAATTTTCAAAATATTTATTACGATTCTCGAATTATAATCAATATAAAAAGCTTCTCTTTATTGTCTGCTATTCACTGTAAATTTTAAAATTATTATTGATTTATACTTTTCTACATTTTATTTGAAACGTTTAAAAATGTGTTCGACGTTTTTAGCATGAAATTTCCAGGAGTAAAATTAAGGTCATAAAAATTATAATAAAGTCATAAAAACTAACCTTCCTCGAATATTTCTTCGATATTGCGAATTAAATTCATTTACCTATTCTATAGTGAGTTCAGAATTAAATTATTAACTATTTCTGTAATAACTGTAGGCCGTAGCAATATGGTCGTTTGAAACTAAATCTCATTTGTTACTAAATATTTAAAATCCAAAAATTAATACCAAACGGAAATAATAAAGAAAAAAATTAAATAAAAAAAAAATGATATAGAATCGAAAAATTCGAAAAATGGAAGAAAATTTAGTAGGCCTTGCTTGTAACTAGCCTCGATTCCTTTGGGATATATTTTTTTTTCAGATACAAGTTCTCCGACGGCCGACATAGAAATGTGAAATTCCACTTGCACTAAGAAGTTCCCCTGGGCACAATTGTATAAAGTGACTCGCACTACTTCACACGATGAACTTGTTATTACATACGAAGATAATAAATTTTTGTAAACGGTAACTGCATTGCCGCAAGCAAATGTAGACTCGCGAATGTAACAATTAATATGCATTACTAAGTGATGTTCTTACTGTGAATATTTAATTATAATTGAATAACTTGTTTGTACAGAACTCAATATTTACTATTTTCGAAAAGATAATGATTCAGTGCAAAGCTTTTGATAGTTATAATTAATGGAAAATTCAAGAGAAGTAAATGACAAATTAATATTTCAAATTACTTATGTATTGTATATTTATAAAAAAAGCTGCTAAGGAGAAATTATAATGAAAGAGTACATTAAACACGTCTATTACAATTTTAATCATTACATAAAAATTGACAAATTTTCAATTGTCAATGTTGGAACATTATACTTCGATTTATACACAATTCTTTATAAAATAATAATTATTTACGTATAAAGTGTAAAAATAAATTATTTTCAAAGAAACAATAATTTACATTTCACGCAATTAGTCTTAAAATTTGAAATTTAAAATCAATTCGTAAAAACAATTTTAAATGTAGTGAAAACACCATTTACAATAGCATATGATCGTATTAATCTAAGATATAGTAATTCTTTAGAATTTTTAAACATGATGAAGTTCATCATTTATTATTCATAAATATTAAAATCTACAGTGCGTCACTTTCATACTACTGACTAATCGCCTAATCAGACTTTTATTGTTTTTTATAAGAAAGAAAATACAATCACGTGGTATAATTATCAATGAGAGTAAGAAATACAGTAATAAGTAATATAGTATTACTCGTATCCGGTATAATCATAATTCAGTCACATTTTACTAATTCAGTTAATTCAGCAATCAAAACCATTTTTAAATCTATTTAAAAAATATTATGGAACGCTTAATATTTAGGTAGACGTGACTCAAATGAAGATACAAAATTTTTTATAAAAAATAAGTGTAACAGATTTTTGTTTTAATTCAATTATTTAACTCTTCAATAAATAAATATTAAAGAAAATGTTTTATTAATAGTCGTCATTATCTCCAAGTATTCATTCTTAAGAAAATACAGCATTAATTTTAATTAATTGCATCAATCATTAAAATATTTGTGACGATAAAGGCCAAATCAAACTATGCAAATAATCAGGAATTATATATGTAATATGTATCTTAATCATAATTTATAATTTTATTATTCGCATTTAACGAAATTGATCATTAAGAAATACATTTTTTCGTTCACCTATAATTCACTCAAATTCATCTATAATTTATGATACCTAAAAAATTTCTGTTTAATTTCCATAAACAACAAATATATTACGTTATATAATATATTATATAAAACATTTACTTCGAAAATATATAGTGAATCAGAGAAAGATTAACCAAATTTTTGAAATACTAATTTTTATCTTATTCTAATGATATTATAAAAGTATTTTATTTTTAATACTTCATTAGTTAAATTAAAAATGATAATTTCAGTATGTACAAACTCAAAGAAATAATAATAATAATAATAGAAAAATATATAATTAATATTTGCTTATGATAAATTGTGTGCAATAGAAAAATCTGCTGATAATTTTATCAATGTCAACTTTTAGTAAAACATTAACCTTACAATAGACGATACAATAGAAAATTGAATTAAATAGTAACGATAAATGTTAATTCGTCGATGAATCGAAAAGTACTGGAACAATTGACAACGTACGACAATGCACTTTAATAATAAAAATAAATAAATTAAAAATGATGAAAATATAATAAAATAACAATAAATAAGTCAATTATAATAATTGTTGGGTTTGATTTTATGACAAATTTCCATCCTTAATGTAATATTATAAAATTCGTAATACAATTTTATGGTTACCTAATTTGTTAATTTTTTTATTATTTGGACATGTATCATAATCATTAAATTTTTTGATAGACTCTTTCGAAAAGTTCTAGAACTGGTATTTAAGACTATAGGAATGACATTGTTAAATTTTTTGTATAATAAACTACGTTTAAAATCTTACATTATTTACATTTATAATTCGAACATTGATCAATTTAATAAATTTTTGTAAATTATCGTATCTGAATAGATTTAAGTAATTTATATCTGCCGTGTATACAGAAATGAAAATAAAGCAAAAATCTAATTTAAAAATTGAAAATATATTTCCATAGCGTTAAATATAAATTTCAAAACAATATTAATAGGATTTTATTTCCTCGTATATACTATAGATGACAAAATTACTTAAAAGATTTGAATAAACTGTGGCATATCTAATCAGTTAATTACACATAAATTCTTTTAATTAAGTGGTTTAAAACAAATACAGAAATATTATAGAATAAATGAAAAAATATTTACAAATTATCGTTGTAATAAGTTATAGATGATACATGTCATAATTATTAAAATTCATTAATCGAATAGATAATTTTATCAAATTTTTATTAGTAGAATTCTTCTTCTTCTTCTTCTTCTTCTTCTTCTTCTTCTTCTTCTTCTTCTTCTTCTTCTTCTTCTTCTTCTTCTTCTTCTTCTTCTTCTTCTTCTTCTTCTTCTTCTTCTTCTTCTTCTTATTATTATTATTATTATTATTATTATTATTATTATTATTATTATTATTATTATTATTATTATTATTATTATACAGAAATTGTTTAACATCTATTAGTTGAAAATCCTCTATTAAATTTTATTATTTATAACTAGTTCTTTTTTTATTTTATAATAAATGCGAACGTTACTTTAAAATAGTATTTTCTTTGTTTACTTCTATAATAATAGGTTTCAAAAAATCGTATAAAGAATAATTGGAAAAAAAAAAAATAATAAATAATATAGAATTACTTTTTAAAATACACATTACAAACAAAAAATTGGAATATCTAAAAAGACAATAGGCCAATAAGTTCAAATAATCTGTTCTACAGAGAAATTTGTGTTTAAAAATATTATCTAGCAATTAAAAAATAATCTTCCCAATAACTGGCTCTACGGCTATGTATAACGGCTTCTAAGTAATGAAATTTCCTTTTCGCCAACAGCTTCACTAGGCTGATTAAATCTGATCTTTCCGCAACAATTACAAGTTTCAAAAAATGACCATCAATTATTTGTATACGAAATAAAAATGAAAAAATATATTGAGTACCAAATGCAAAATTATAAAACCATCCATGTTTTAAAATAGTTTTGAGTCCACTCATTACACATTGAACAATATAATAATCTCAAAAATTTGATTCTTTTCTTATTATAATTCATCCATTGAGACTACATAGCAAAAAAAATATTTTAAAAACTATACGTTCTTTACAAGAATTAAATAACTAAACATAATATTCAAGATTAATGTCATTACCATTTCAATCTCATAGAAAGCAAATATTATGTAATAGAATCTATCACAACAAAATTATAGATTTTAATCTAGGAAAAATCTTTTCCCAAATAATTATTTATTAATTTATCACACAAATCGAATTTTATGTGCGAAAATAAATACGATGCTTTTAGGAATTTAACCTAAATAATTATATCTGATATTTTTATTGCTTCAATTAACTCTATTCTTGAATATTGAGACTAGAGGACAATTTAATGTCTACTTTAAAATAATAACTTAATTGAATTTAAAACTTTATAAACTATAAAGTCACATTTAGTATTATTTGATATAATAAAAGAAGATAAAAATATTGATTATTTAAATAAATCTTTTTTTTTTTTTTTTTTTTTTTTTTTTTTTTTTATTTTGCAATAAAATATCTCAGTTATTATAATAAAATATCTCAGTTTATAAATCTTGAGACTATATTTAGAGAGTCCTTGGTATTTTGAGAAAGTCAAGTAAAATTACAACACATTAATTATATATATATATATATATATATATATATTATTATAAATAATTCTATGTTTTATTCATTAGGACTTTATAATTTTACTTTAAAGATAAAGTACCTTGAAAGTAGCTTAAAATTATTGACACTATCGATGCGACAATTGTCCTTAATTAATTAAAAAAAGTGCGTTAATAAAATTGGGCTTAACGTGATAATTAAATTTACCGGTTCTAAAGTTGACAACGAGATCTATAAGGAATATCGTATCAGAAAGGCAGTTGAAGGCTATCCACCGTGTGCTCAAATCGTCGTTGAAAAAACTAATAGCGACCGGTAGGATGATTAGGTTGGCCACCAGTAGAAGAAGCATGCACAAGTCCCAATAAAATCTGTAATAATAAAGAAACACATTTTAGAGATTAACTTTTACATTTTATTTACTTCCTATTGTTACAATGAAATGGAATTTTGTTTAATATGCAAACTGATATAGCTGCAGAAACCTTGAGTCCACGCTTCATTCACACTTATTATTTATCATTTTTAGGTTGATGTTATTTATTACGTAGTTATAAAATATAAGCCATCGAAGTAAACAACAATAAAAGCGTTGCATAAAATTTAATTAATTTTTCATAACCAACATTTAATGTTTGTGTTCTAATATTATTATGAATATAGGATTATAACATTATATAAATTAATTTGTAATAAAAGATTTGTAAGATGATAAAGTAGTATAAAATTATTAAGTAACATATTATATAATACAGTTTAAAAAAAAAATAATAATAATAAAAACTATTTTATTTAATAAATTTTTCATTAAGAAATTACTGCACATTCTCTAAATATACTGGAAATTACTAAATTGTTAAATACGAATGGAAATATTTTCCATTATCTAGAGCTGGATTCCCGATGTAATGCGTATGTTTGTTCGCACTATGAAATTAGTTTAAATAAATGCTCAAAATAAATGAGAAAAGTTATTGGTTCAAGTATGTAAAAATTACACAAATATATGAAAGAAAAAAATCAAATTAAAAAGGTTTGTAACGTCTGACAGAAATCAAGCACTTGTTAAAGAGCGTGAAAGGTATATATATATATATATATATATATATATATATATATATATTAAGAGAGAGAGAGAGAGAGAGAGAGAGAGAGAAAACGTTGATAGTTTTATAATTATAACAGGGTTAATTAAATCTTTAGAATTAACTTATAGACTTTGTGAAAATGTCAAAATATACTGGATTACTTAATCGAATCGATGTATTGCTATAAAATTATTTTTAACGATAAATTGTGGAAAATCTTGTTAACTATCGCTTAATTGACTACAATCCTCTCATGCTTACATTAATATTCTTATATTTGATTGTGGATATTACCGTTACCATATAAAGGGCGTAAAGCTGTAGGGCATAAAAAGAGATATACATAGATTTACGGCAGATAAGCCAGACGACAATTGTCGAATTAGTAAGTAAGTGTCTTTAATGATGTGATATTGCTCAATGCAGAAAGAAATATTAGTTGTTGGAGTATTTTAATTTCCATTACATTATCGTACTTTTAAATTAAATTAATAATGAAAATTTTGTTTTTACAGCAAATTTAAGTCAGCGTGTATGTGTGTGTGTGTGTGTGTGTGTGTGTGTGTGTGTTTATTTTTTTTTTTTTTTATAAAAACTCTACTTATTACATTAGACAATAAGAAACATTATTTTATTTATGATTACGAAATCATCTACATAATATAAATTTACTTATGCTGCACGCGAACTCAACATATTTATGAAAATATGCATCTAAAATACATATAGTATTTCAGAAATACATTTTTATATAAAACTACAATATTCGATTACAATAATATTACAATGTAATAGAGAATTTCTGCGTAATATATAATGATAGTTATCGTTCTTCCAGAGTTGGAGCTTCTGTTGTACTGTTTATACTGAAATCGCATGCCATATCAATCAGGAATTACAGCGAGCTTATCATAAAAATTCACGATAGTAACATCGTACATTCAATTTCTTCAGGGGAGTAAATTTACTCAACTTGCTTCATCGAGTTTCGACAGGCGTCGCCGATAAACAAGCTACTAATGATTGTTAATTTATGTACATATAGCGTGAGTCGTTACAATATGCCCCTTGCCAGTGATGACATCGCGATACTACCCAAACGATTCCGAAGCTCCGTCTATTATCGTAAATTATAAATGTCGCTTTACTATCCGTTCAATGATGCTTGTGCTCAAATCACATCGGACTCATCCATAACGAAGATGCCAATAAACTATTTGTAGCATATGACTGACGTAGCTATTGATCCGTATTTCCATAATCTTCCTACAATATTACGTATTCCCACCTCATTGTTCTTAAATTTAAATCATTTAAACGAATTATAATTATAAATTTTTGGTAAAGGTTATCATTCGTTTCAAATATTTATCTCCGTATATTAATAACTTTTTTAATAGATTTTAAAACGCTCATGCGTTTAAGCAAACAACTACGGATATTTTATTAAGGTAATGTAGCGTTAAGAGTGTACGTGAATCAGAAATTACTACATCTACTCAATATCATTAATGCCAGATTCCTATTAATACGCCAAGTGCGAAAAATACTAGTCCGTATAATTTTATGACATTGTTGTCAATATCATGTATGCGTATAAGTCATACAAATATAATTGTGATTGCCGTCGGATAAATTATTATAACATCATATAGATTATAAAGTATTTACAAACGATGATTTTCACTTTTCACGAATATATTTATATCGCAATACATATTCTATACAATTTTTCAAGATTACGCAAATAAATGAATATTGAATTTGTAGGTGAATCATTGCATCAAAACAAAAATGTAATATAATTTTTTATAAAAGTTATTTTTAATGAAGTTTAGTTATAATTATAGTTATATTCCTAGCAGATAATACATCAGTATATAATATATACATTTTTTTATATAATTGATTATTGCATATTGATGATTATAATATTTTTATAATGTAAAAAAAAAATTATCATGTTGGACAAATATAATTTTATTTCTTAATTTTATTATAAGTTTAAATAAAGCATAAATAAGAGAATGTATGAATACCGTATTTACTAAATTAACTGTAGATTCTTTATTATCCAATTATACAGATTTTTCATGCTTATTTTTCAATTAAATCACTTATAACAAGAAATATCTTTTCTTGATTTATTATTACGATCGAGCTTACCGATCATACATATGTTTTTATTTATGAAAAATGGCGAGTAACTATACGAATACTTATAATACGTAAACAAATATTTTAGTTTCATCTGCAAAATAACTAATATCAAATAAAAAATGATTTATTATTATATTTTTTACTCTTTTATTTTGAGTGAATGTTTTCTAACTGATGAAGACAAGTAATGAAAAAGGATCAATGAAACAAAATCATACATGTAATAAAAAGTACTTTTGTTAGTTTCGCATTTCACGTAAGATTTTCGTTCAAATCGTTGATTGAATTATGTCTGCAACCAGAAAGATAAACTTCAGCCTAGATGTATATATATATATATATATATATATATATATATATGCTTATATTAAGTTAATTATATATGTTAAGCAATTCATAAATGGGGAAAGAAAAAATTTTGATTAAGCATATAACGAACAAAGAACTTAAAAAGACCATAATTAGAATTTTCATACATACAGTGCATATATGGAAAGGACATACATACAACATACTCAAACCAAAAAGCTTCTTGGTGCTAGTCATACTAGGCTAACTAATCCCAATTAGAGACTCGAACTATAAAACTATGGATGAATTGACGTCATGGTAAACGTGGATTTACATTGGACACACCCAGAAGCTTTTTACGAGTTTTGCGTCCTTTCAAAGTTTCTAGTGGCAAAAAGCGGATGTGCAAATGTTCTGACATTGGCTGTAAGCTAGTCACATTATTCTATTAGAGTTTTCCAACTTTGTACTTCGTACAGAATCGAAAACTTGTGATGCAGCTGAAATGATGTTAAGTGCTTTGAATGTTACTTTTGTAAAAAGAAAATATTCGTAGAGAGTGCAGCGTTGTACATAAGTGACTATTGTCCTATGTCCTATTCTGAATAATTTATAAAGAAAACGGATGTATTGTGAGTAATTTAATAAGTAAGATTTAATAAATGATAATCCACATAAAGGAAATACTATTCAATACATTAAGGAATAGTCCATAAAAAATACACATGTACACATAGTATAATTAATTTATAGCGATGAATTATGCATCTGAATATAATAATATTTTTCATTCGTTATTTGTTAAATCGTTAGTTGTTCGAAAATATTTATATAAACTTTATCAATTAATCATTAATCACGTTGCTTCCTTGCACCTTATGTATTATGTATATACAATGTATGACCAAATTATTTGCTTTCATTACCATTGTATACGGATTTTATTTCAGACATTCTACAATTTTACGTGAATATTAATTTATAATTATGAAAAACAACATGAGAATGATAAAAAAAATACATTTCTTCTATTTTAGCATTATTTCGTTTTAATAATAGAAATCCTATTGTCTGAATTGCAAATGTGAGGTGAGGTGAGGGGCGGGGGGGGGCGGAGGGGGGGGGCGAGAAATTATATGAATATACATGTGTATATGAAAAAAAAAAATTTGCAATTACAGAAAGAGGTTACTAATATTTTCTTTAACTATAAGTATAAAACAATAAAAATATTTAATGTTCATCGATCGAAGGATATAAATGTTGATACACTTTTTTTTTTGTATTCATTAGATATTACTAACATGGATTTTTTCCTTTTCTAATAAATTTCTACATTTAGTCGTATGAAACATAGATGATGTATTTAATCATAAAACCGATGTCTTTGTATCACTAATAAAGTTTTATAACAAATATCATTGTTTGTCCATAGGACAAGGCCATATAAATGAAAACCTATAGTATGCTTTTATGAACAAACTTGAATAATTTAACTCAATTTAATATATTCTTGAAATGTTATTGTAATTACAAATAAATACTGAATAATTTTAATATACTTAAAAACATAATATTTTTGTAATAATTTTATCTTTTTAAAAACAAAAATTACATTCCACCAGTATAGTGGGTACGTTAGATAACTTTTTCATTAAATAACTATTGAAACCATATTTAAAATACTTATTTATGATGTTAGTTAACTTTATGTTTCGGTTTTTATGTATAATGTATTGGTTATTTTTATGACAGGTTTAGCCGAATTCTCATCAATATTTAAATAAAATTATACGTTATCTTAATTTTTAATCTTCATAGTACAAGGATAT